CAAATAAAAAGTATTTTTTGAAACAATATTTTGTTCATAGAAAATAAATATATAATAAATAATTACAAAATATATATATATATATTCGAATCTCTTACTATAAATATTATTAAATACTAATACATTATTCACAATGAATATAATTCTTTTCTTTGTATTATTTTGTATGTATATAGAATAAAAATGATTAAAGATCTCGATTCTTTGGTTCTTTATAAGGAAGTCCAAGTATTTTAAAAATATCTTCTTCGCATGTGATTTTCTCAGCTTCTCCTGGGATACCTGAAATAAGGATTATTGTTCAATTTCTTATTATATATATATATATACAATAAAAACAATTTTATTAACAAATAATACCTTCTACTGTAAGTCGTTTTAAAGTATATTCATTTAATGTATACTTCTTCTCCAACGCATGAGCCCTTATGTTTTTATTAAAAAGATCGCTACCAGTATAATGAAGTATAGCACAATAATATTGATCATATGGTACCAATCTTATATCCAAACGTCTGAATGATTTATTTTTATCATTTGACACACGACAAACACCCTAACATTTTAAATTAACAAATCATTAATAATTGAATCAAAACAAAAATCTAATTATTTTACCATAAATTTTGTTGGCCCAATAGACATTGTATCTGTAATTAAACGTTTTTTTTCAAGATATTCAACAATATTTTTAAGCATATCACTATTCTTTTTTTTCGATTCCTTATTTATGGAAATATAATTTGGATGAGTTATCAATGCATCAATATCTCCGCTTTCTTTTTTACCACGTCTGTAACTTCCACATATAGTAATAATGTATTCTTTACTCAATTCATAAATATATTTCTTTAACATTTTTTCAATTTCAGTTATTTCTGCTCTAGGTACCTTTTTCTCAAAATCATCAAAATACCTAGAAAAGAAAATGTAACTCATAAATTTTTGGAATAATAATAGTACACAAACAAAGTTTATTAATAGTACTTTAAACCAAGTTTTTGATGATGATTCAATTTGTTCTGGTGTTTTTTTAAATCATCCAAACTTTTAATACCATCATCAACTAATTCTTTTGCTTTAGCAGGACCAATACCAGAAACACGGGTTAACAAATTGATTGCAACATTATCATCATTTTTATTAATCTACAACGAAACAATGATTAATATCGATATTATAGAAATATAATAGAAATATGTTGTATTATATTTACTTCTTCAAGTTTGCGTAATTTCCCAGTTTGAAGAAATTCGTCTATCTTTTTAGCTATTTTTTCTCCTATTCCTGGCAACTTTCTAGCTTCTTCTCCGCTCTTGACTCTGTCGCTTAAAGTACTCAAGCTACTAGCTGCTTTACGATAAGCATTATATTTGTATACATTCTTACTAACATTTTTTTCATAATTTGCCAGTTCTATAAACAAATTATAAAATATATGTATATATAAGTATTTAAATATTTTTATAATTAAGATGTTATTTACAGTGTAGACATCTTTGTTTATTTCGAACAAATATATTTATATATATTAATAATATATTATGTTTCATATAAATTTAGAAATTGACATTTACCTAATAGAAAATCACATAAATCTTGATTAGGATTTCCTGCATTATCTGGTGCTTTTCTTTTACCCATTTTTTTTTTGTAGAAATTTTATACGTTAATTGAAGTACATTAATTATTTGTTAAATGTATGTTTTATAACTAATTGATTTTGATTAAATTAATATACGAATTCAAAACCCGGCTTCATTATTATTTCATCAGATGTTTTCATCGGCTACAACGAACTCAAGAAATGAAGTTGGCAGGGGATATACAACGAATGTATATATTACGATAAAAGACCGAAATTGGATAATGCTAAATTCACATGGTCGCTTGTCAACACGTACCAAATATGTCGGTGAAAGATCGAATATTTGGGTTTATTCTTATAGATTTTTTTTTTTAATATTTCAGACACACACCAAGAAGGAGTGATCATATGAATCTTAACATTCTTCAATTTAAGTCTTTCACGGTACATATAAACACGCAAATATATGCGCGATAATAACCTAATGATATAATCGATATAATATATATATTAAATTTTTATCATTTTTATATAACAATTGTGTGTATATTATAATTTTATTAATAATTTGTATAAAAAAAAAAACTATCCTTTAAAAGAAAAATATAGGAAATCAACATATAAATTGTATGAAAAGTTAATAGAAAAATGTAACATATAAAACAATATGTTTATTTTATATTTTAATAGGAAAAAAACGAAAGATTGAATAATTCATATTGAAAGTAAACATATGTATTTATTTACCACTTTCTAATCATAAAATATAATTAGCAGAAGATAATTCTATTTACATAGATATAGGATTATTATAAATGCATTTAAATGCAAAAAATAGATTCATTATTATTTAGAAAATAATCTTGCTGTATATAAGATAGATCAATTAAAATTTATAATGTTATTTTTTGACATTTGCGTGTATGCACGCCTTCAAATATAATATT